TCTCTCTCTCTCTCTCTCTCTCTCTCTCTCTCTCTCTCTCTCTCTCACACACACACACACACACACACACACACACACACACACTATACAAAATTGAGGACCATATTATACAAGCAAAACGCCAGTAAGACAAAATTTGCCCAAAGCAACATGAAATAAAAAGTCTACAAAATACCATTGAGTTCCTTTTTTGTTTGCCATCTGCTGCTAGTATTGGGATCTACCCTGAAGTACTAGAGCTCTGTAAAGCACTTTGACATCACACATGGGGATGCAAAATTTGGAGTCTGTCCCGATGGTTTTTGGACTTGTTTTGTTCCAGTATTTCCTCATTGTGCTATGATGATATTTTATTTGTGCTGAAATGTGATTTTATTTGTATGTTAATAAATAAAGTTGCCTGGGGATCAGAGCTAAAAGCAAGACATTTAGCAGAAGTCTGGTGGTGGTGGCACATGCCCTTAATCTGATCACATGGCAGGCAGAGTTTCTGTGTGGTCAAGGACATAGCTAAGCCGTGACACAAATTTTCAATCCCAGTACCAACCATAGAGATCTGGAGTTCTGTATAGACAGGCAGTGACAAGGAAATCATGTGGTTGGGTTTAGAGCCAATGAGAAAACAGAACAGAAAGGCAATAACAAGACAGTAACACAGGAAGAAGGTCTTTCTCTCAGGGGAAGGATGGCAGCAAGTGGTAAGCTAAAGGCTATTTGCTAGTGCTTTGATCTCTTGGGCTTTTAACTCTGTATTTGTCTCTGTATTTCTTATTTGATAAGACCATTTAGAATTTCATCTACACTATGCCCCCTTTCCTCCCTTTGGGGATGGTAATGTATATTCTACACCATTGTATGTTAGAAGTATGTGATCTGAACTTTGGTTTTTGATTGTATAGAAGAGTATATTTAAGAGATTGCCATATATCTCAGAAGACACTTTGAACTTGTACTTTTAAAGTGTTGAGACTGTGGTAGACTATGGAGAGTTTTGAAGCTGGACTAGATGCATTTTGTATTATGATATGACTATAGGCCTATGGGAACTAGTGAGTGGAATGTGGTGTTTTGAATAAGAATGGCCCTTAAAGGCTCATATATTTGATTGCTTAGTCATCAGGGAATGTGTAATATCCTTCCCTATCTTTTTCTGGTTAGTTTTGGTTCGAAGTGTATTTTGTCAGATATTGAAATGTCTATGCCCATTTACCTCTTGGGTCCATTTTCTTGAATACTTTTTCCCATCTTTTACCATGAAGTGATATCTATTATTGATGGTGATGTGTGTTTCTTAGGTACAGTACAAAGATAAATAATTTATTGAATAATTGAGAACATTGATATTGAGAGTTACCTATGAGCATTATTTAATTACTGCTGTTTTGGTGGGTGTGAGGTCCCCTCTTTTTGATTTACTGTTCTGGGATTATTTATTTCTTTGTTCATCTTGTTTGTGGTTAACTGCTTCAAACTAAAGTTTTTCTTCTGTTCCTCTCCATACAACTAGACTGGTTGACAGGGTAGATTAAATTCAATTTTATAACAGAATCTTTTTCTTTCTCTATCCATTGTAATTGATATTTTTTCTGGGTATAGAGTCTGACTGGCATCTGTAGTCACTTAGAGTTTGTAGTGACTAGGTCCTTCTTGCTTTCAAAGTATCCACTGAAAAGTCAGGTGGTATTCTAATGTTCCTGCCTTTAAATGTAATTTGATCTGTTCCCCCCCCAAAGATTTTCATATACTTTCTTTGTTCTGTTTAATGTTTTGGTTATTATGATGTGTCCTAGGGAAATTTTCTGGTCCTGTTTATTTGGTGTCCTACATGCTTCTTGTATCTTGATAGACATCTCCTTCCTTAGGTTGGAGAAATTTTCTTCTATGATTTTATTAGAAATATTTGTTGTGCCTTTGACCTGGTTTTCTCCTCCTTCCTCTATTCCTAGTATCCACAGTTTTGGTATGTTCATAGTTTCAAATTTTTCCTGGATGTCTTGTGTGTGGATTTATTTTTAATAATCTAAAAGATTTAACATTTTCTTTGACTGAGGTATCCACTTTTTAACCTTGTTTTCAATGCCTGAGATGTTCTCTTATCCTATAATCTGTTGCTGATACTTATTGCCGAGGTTATTCTTTGATTTCCTAAATGTTTCATTTGTGGTTTTCAGTTTTTCTCCAGTAGTTCTATTTCTATGTTAAATTCTATTTTCACATCTTGAATTGTTTTCATTATTGCATTCAACTGTTTTTTTTGTGTGTGCTTTTATGGTCTTCTTAGGGGATTGTTCATATCCCTAAAACCAGAGGATAAGACTGGAGAAATCAGAGGACAAGTTATAAAAGGGTCCTTGAACATATTCAAAATTGCTATTTTGAACTCCTTATCTTGAGCATCAGCTATATTGCATTCCTCAGGACCTACTATAGTTGTGTTACTGTGTTTTAGTAGAGGCATATTGTCTTTGTTGTTCATATATTTATTTTCATGCTGATGTCAAGGCATCTGGAGTTATGATTGAAATAATTCTAGGTGTTGATATATAGTCTTGTCCTTGTTGAGTGAATGTTAAGTTTCTTGGTTTCTGTTGTTCTCTATATATATTAGGAAAGCTTGGTGGTTATAGTTTCCCTAATAGTGCTTCTGCAGGTGAATGGGTAGCAGAGAGAAAAAAGAAATAGCTACAAGAAAATGCTGAAGGGCTGTGCGAAAGAGCTACAGGCATCTTGTCCACTCTAAGAGGCCAGATCTCTAGGGAGTTGTCAGTGTGGTAGGAGGAGAAACTCCTGCAAGTAGATTGCATTTGGAAAAAGAACATGTCTTGAAAGATAGGGATGAAAAGGCAAAAAGGACAGGGTCTGTACTAAGAGGTAGAATCTCTAGTGGATAGAGTTGGGGTGGGAGAAGGAACATTTGCAAGCAGGCTGGTACAGGGTTGAAGTTTGCATTTACATAGATCTTAATGTTAAAGAGGGAGGGTAGTAAAATTTGCCTATCTGAGTCCCAGACTGGTGTATCCACTGGAAGTCCCAGGTAGGAAGCATTTTTAGGTATCAGCATATAACACAAAGGAATGAAGATGAGCTATATGGGAAGGCTGAGAAGGTCTGCAGTAAAAAGCTGAGTCCACCACAACAGGTTGTGGAGTCCATAAGGATCTACATATTTTTTAAAAATACTGACTTTCCTAAAGATAAATTTGATCAACATTTTCCAAGATTATGTGTATGCTGAAGATCCACTGAACTTCACAGATATCATTATACTTTAAGGAGGGCAGAGGGTACTTTGATGTCAGTATGATTCAAAGACATCTTCTCACACTATTTTAAAGAAATGTGCCGAACTATGCTTTCAGCTAACTGGAAGTTTTCTCTGCCTTAATAATGAAATTTGAAGAGCGAAGCCCAAATAATTGTCATATTTGTATTTAAAAAGCTGTTATAATTTTTATCCAAAAACAAAACATATTTTAATATGTTTTTTTTTACCAATTAAGTTTTTGTATTACTAATTCAAACTTGTTAAATGTATCTATATGAAAAAAATTAAGAGAAAAACACATATTCTGAACCAGATATTTTATGATGTCTGTGCAGGTGTACGTGTGTGTAAATTTTCTTTTTTTATCCTTAAGATTTGGGATTTAAATTTCTGTAAGATGATGATGATCATACAAAAAATAAAATTTAGTCTTTTAATGTGTAAATCAGGATAAAATGAACATTTTCTAATTCACTCCAAATGTCACGGGGTACAGGTAGTAAAGATGATGAAGGAAACAGCAAAATAGTAGATTTTTTCTGGAGGAAAAAAAAAACAAGGGTTAGATTCAAGCAACCAGATTACTCCAAACAGAGGACAAGACTAGAGAAATCAGAGGATAAGACTAGACAAACCAGGGAACAAGACTGAGGAGACCTGAAGACAGACCTAGAGTAACAAGGGACAAGACTAGAATAACCAGGGATAAGACTAGAGAAAACAGATGAAAGTATTAAAGTGACAAGGAGATAGAACAGGCATGCCCTCCTGCTCCACAATGTCCCCTTTCTCTTTTCACCAAGTCCCTAGTTAAATTTCTGTTCTGTGGGGTCCTTGAACCTGTGTCCCATGTTCTGGTGTCATCTGTGAAGGCCAGCTCCCACATTTTTCCATTTCCCCCCAGGGTACTCTTGAGGAGAGATGGATAAGAAACATTAGATAAAAATATAGTAGAGAGAGAAAAAGACAGAAACACAATAGCTTCAGGAGAGCCTGGATCAAGATCCACCAGATCCCTTTTTCTCTTCAAATGAGTTTTTATAGGAATGCTAAGGGGCACGGCAAAAGACCTCCCGCTAGCACAACCAAGTGTAAACCCTTCCAATTATATGGTAAACATGCACGTGGTCAAGCCATCCCTTAATGCAGCCCTGCTGGGTAAAGCAAGTTCAGATCTCACTAGAAAACCTCTATGGGCCCCCACATTTTCCCTAAAAAGCAATTACTTCTCACTTGGACATACAAGGTAACAAAACATTAGATTTTTTACTATATTTTTATAAAGTTAGAAGATATAAAAATAGTATAAAGCTACAGTAATTGAGGCAGTAAGATAGAGCCACCTAGAAAGACAAACATGGAAA